TCCAGAAATACAGGCCAAGAGCTCATCCCAAACCACATGGCAGTCACAACTTCCTCATGAGGGGAAGGGGGACAGGCCCTGAGCTCTGCCCTGCGGGGACCAGTGACAGGACTCGAGGGAATGGCCTGAAGTTGTGTTGGGGGAGGTTTAGGTTGGAGATTAGGAAATGTTTCTCCACCCAGAAGGTGGTTGGTTGGGCACTGACCAGGCTCCTCAGGGCAGTGGGCACAGCACCAAGGCTGACAGAGCTCAAGGAGTGTTTGGACAAGGCTCTCAGACACATGGTGGGATTGTTGGGGTGTGCTGTGCAGGGCCAGGAGTTGGACTTTGATGATTCCTGTGGGCCCCTTCCAACTCAGGGTATTCTGTGACTCTTATGTAGTGCCTGAGGAAGAGCTGTGTTTTATTATACACACATATAGGGCAGGGGGTTGGCACTGGATGATCTTACAATCCCTTCCAACCCAACCCATTTTATGATTGTTTGTTTAATATCATAGAATCATGGAATGGTTTGAGTGGGAGGGACCTTTAAATGTCATCTAATCCAACATCCTCACAACGAGGAGGGACATCTTCAACTAGATCAGGTTGTTCAGAGTCACATCCAACCTGATGACCTTGAATGTTTTCAGGGATTGGGCATCCACAGCTTCTCTGGGCAGCCTGTGCCAGTGTTTTACTGTGCTCACTGTGACAAAAACTAAACCATACAGCAGTTTACACTGACTTAGGTGGTCCATTCTCCCTGGGTAGTGTTTAGGGTGCTGCAGAGTAGCTGGTGTTGAACTTGAGAGACATCTTGCCCTTCTCTCTGGGGCTCAAGCCTGAAGCCACTAAAATGTTTGCACTGCTGTGGTCAGTACATGTGCAAAGAGCAGAGCTCATGGCTTGGAATGGACCAAGAAATGTGGGGAGTTAATTAAACAGTTGTGGCCTGTGATGCTTCTCATGAGCCTTTAAGGCCCCGCTGCAGTAAAACCTCCTGAAAACTGGTTATTTAGGCCTGTGGCTTCACCCCTTGCCTTTCAATAGTGTTTTATGTATTAACTGTCATTAACACCCATATAAATGAGCCAAAGGTCATCTTGTTTCTTATTTACACTTTAATTCCCTTCAGTGGCTTTTATGCCACAGCGTATTTTTGGAATCTGCTTAGTTTCCCATCCTGGTTCTCCTCACTATAGTCTCTTCAGCTTGTATAAGGATTACTAAGGATTCCCCTTTCCTTTCTGCACGGTTACTTTGCTCCCTTTGTTCATCCATCCCCTCCCACCTGGCAGGGAGCCTTATGGAAAGGTCATCACCTTGTTCCCTTTCCAAACCCATCTTTAAACTCCTTTGTCCTCGTACCTGCAAAGAGAAATGACAGCAGTGAAAGAGCTGAGGTGCTGAGGTCCCTCCAGTGGTGCTCAGGACTCACACAAACCCACTTATTGCACTTTAGCAATCACTGTGCCTCTGCTGAGCCTGGATATCTCCCACCTTCCATAAAGAAGTGGTTTCACTTCATGTACACTGCAATTAAACCAATTTAGGCCAGTTGTCTTCCCTCCTCTTTGCATTTTCTAGCCATGGCTAAACTAAAACACATCTCCCTTTCCATAATGAAACACTTTTTTACTGTGAGGGTGACCAAGCACAGGAACAAGTTACCCAGAGATGTGGTGCAGTCTCCATCCTTGAAGGACTCCAAGAATATCCAAAAGGCATCTGGACATGCTTCCATTCAACCAGTTTTAGGTGACCCTACTTGAGCAGGGGGTTTGGACCAGGTGACCTCTGAAGGACTCTTCCAAACTGTGATTGTGGGAAAGCAGGAAACTGAGTTCTTGTAAGACATTACAAGGTTATTGTTACCATAAATGAGACTCAGTTGTGGCTTTTTCAAGTGAAACTTTTTGTTATTTATTTTTCAAATGGAAAACATCATCTTGTTGCTTTTAGGAGCAGATGCACCAGTCTGACAGTTGGTAACATTTCTGATCAAAATGAAATGCAAACTCCACAAAAAGCAGATTGTTTCATGGCTGTTAACTAATACCACCAGAGTATCCCAGGGATTTGAACCTTCTTTTTCCACAACCTAGAGAAGAGTCTGGAGCACAAACTTACTGGCAGTGGGATGCTTTCCAACCTCAGTGAGTCTTCTCCACTCTGCATTGCTAATTACATATAATTGAGTTATAAACCCCGGTCTCCTTTCTCATTAATTCTTCAGGAATACAGTTTAAAAAGTTTTAGCTCCAGTCTGAGAGGATATGAGAATTTTTGGGAAATCTGGTGAATTTCCAAAGACTGGAGATACTCTTTTCAAGCCTGGAAGCACTGTCTGTTCTGATGCTACCACTTGGGTTTTCAGTGTACTTCGTTGGTGCATCATTCTAGGGAAAACTTGTGCTACACAAATAGTGAGAAACAGTTCTGTAAAATGGCACATACAGCTTCTGGTGCTTTGAAAAATTTGCCTTTCCATTGACAGATGATCAGACTTTGTTACCAAAGTCTAGTGGATAAACTGAGAGCAACAGAGACCACAAGAACTGGCTGGATTTTCACTGGGGATCTGTGAAACATAAAAATCTCAGTTTAATACTTGTCTGAAGTTCACTGTCTGTAAACCTCAGAGCAAGAACTAATCTTCTGAGACACTCTTCCAAATTTAATGGTTTTTTTCAATATAGAAATTAATCTGGTAAACGGTAGTAATTAGATATGTTGTTTGGTCTGAGGGGAGACATGAGCCATCACTTGAGCCAAAACTGCTGTGAGGTAAAATCTTTAGTTTTTAACCTTGTACTTTTTACACCTCTCAGACATCAGTGAAAAAAGATTTCTTGTATCCCGCCATGTGGGTGAAGTTGCACATCTAAAAGTGACATGAGCAGCAAAGGGTGGTAGAAAAACTTCTGTGGGAAGTGAGTTTCTCTAAAATCAAAGTAATTGTTATTATTATTATTATTTTTTAATCCCAGTGATGCTGTGTCATTGTGCTTCCCTCTACCTGAGTTTCCCACATCTGCTAAAGTATTAAGACAACTTGAGAGCAGCAAGAATTCTAAAATAATCAAACAATTGTGAGGAAGTGCAATCAAAAAGAAGAAATATGAGAAATTAAGCTGAAAGAAGCACCCCTTAGTTCACTGAGGATAAGAAACAAGGAATCACAAAACCACAGTGAAATCAAAAATCATGCCCAAACAGAAAGGAGGAGTTTTGAGCAGGAAACAGGAAGCAACGAAGTTCAGATAATGGGATCCATTGTAATGAAGAAGAAATAACAGAAATTACATAACACCTCAAAAAAAAAAAAAAAAGGTACTGAACAGTCATGTTCTTGATTTTGTTTGCCCAAGATCTCTTACTGTCCCAGTGTGCAGCCTGGTCAAAGGAACTGCAAACAGTGACGGTGCAGGAAAAGCCTGAGGAGCAGCACCAAGGTGTGCTGGAGTTGCTTCTTCTGGGACAGCTGCGAAAATGAACCTTCAAGAGCTTTCATGGAGTTCAGATCTGCTGTAAAAGCAAATTACAGGGATGGGTTTAGTGTCAAAATCCATCTGTCATGAGGGTTCAACAAGTGACCAAAGCCAGGGGTCAGGCTGCTGCTGATTTCAGAGCAAAACGAGTCCCTGGCTGGGAAGATGTTCAGATGACTCAATTGTCAGAAATTTCTGCAGGTGAAACTCGAATATTTTCATGACTCACAGCTGCAGAATTGATTTGCTCCTGTTTGCAGAGGTTTTCTCACTCTTGTGTGCAAAGAACCCCATTGTTGGAAACGTTTGCGAAGCTCTTGAGTTTCACTGCTGCCATTTTTCATCTAAGAAGCGAGTTTTGACTGCTGTTTGTTCATCCTGGTTTATTGTACCAGCTTTCCAGTCAGGGGTGACAGTTTTGTGTGATGAATGGCACCAAAGGAATGCCACAATGACAGGATTCCTGTGAGGTGGGCAGGGTAGGGACGGGTGGTCAGAGAAGGTGCTGGGGGAATTTGCAGTGTGTTGTTGAATGTGTTTCTGCTTTCTTATTTCTGTATGGCCAACATGTATCTTGGCCTTTTAGGGTACAAACCTCTCAGGGTAAAGCTTATCCTGATTGCTGCTCCCTCCTCCTTTTGCTGGATTAAGCCAATTTGGGTTTAAGGTGCAGCTGGGACAGGGAGCAGAGGTGTTTTCCAAAGTGAGAAGTGCTTTGTTCTTACAATCCTTGATGGATCAGGAAGCCCAGAGTACCAAAGAGCCACGTGAACTTCAGTTTTGCCAGTTTTGGCTGAAGGAGTGAGATGTCCTTGTGTTAATTAAGGCTCTTTTTAGCTGGTTGGAGGCCCCAGGCAGTCAGGAAATCTTCCTGTCCTTGAGTACACACGTTAAAACAGGCAATACAGGTTGTCAGGATGTGTTTTCTCTCCCTTCACAGCCAAATTTTGAAGTGTTTGGTCCTCAGACAAAGAGTGCAGTAGAATTCCCAGGAATCACATTTGACCAGGCAAGGTTTGGGTTTGAAGGACCACATTTGGTTCCCAGGCCCCCAACCTTACCTGCACCATGTGAAGTGAGCATTTCATCTGTCCCTGTCTCAGCTTCTCACAAGCACAAATAATTCACCTGATCTGTTTGGATAAATTTTTTCCACAAAAGAAGGAAGGAACAAGAAGGAACAAGGCAATGTGACAATTACCCTCTCAAACAATACTGGTGCAGTGCCAACAACCAAAGGTCTGGGTACAACTGGCATTATGTACCATTAGAAGAGAAATTTTGTGGGCAATTCAGTATTAAAATGTACTTTGTTTTTCAGGTCTGCACTTTACTACCCAGTGAGTCCCTCCAGTTTATATGTTCTGTGTAATAGGAAAACTTAATAACAGAGAATAAGCATGAGAATTTTACTCTAAGTGTTACAAGAACTGTGCTCTGGCATTTGTATCATGACAGGCAGACATTTGTTTGGTGGGGGGGTGAAAGTTTGTTTTTAAATTGTGGTTTTCTCTTTCCCAACAGGGAACGTGACCCGGAATTGTACAAGCCAGGGCTGGTCGGATGTGTACCCTGCTCCCTACACCGTAGCTTGTGGATATGATTCCAACAGCACTCCAGGGGAAGAGGTTTGTAAACCTGGATGGGTAGACATCAACATTTAACAGGGATCCATATCAGATAGTCTTCCCATGCCCAGTTTTTTCCATTTCCACTCTGATTCCCCAAGAGAGAAGAGCCCTCTGGAGGATCCCTGGAAGCAGAGTTCAAATGCTTGGGCAAAGAAATGATCTTCCCTTTGATTTTATAGAATCATGGAATGGTTTGAGTTGGAGGGGACCTTAAAGACCATCTCATTCCAACCCTCCTGCCTTGGGCAGGGAGACCTTCCACCAGACCAGGTTACTCCAAGCCCTGTCCAACCTGGCCTAGGACACTTCCAGGGATGGGACGTCCACAATTTCCAGGGCAGTGACAGGAAATCAGCACCTGTGCAGATCAGGCCAATGTGATGCCCACACATAACTTCAAGTACTTCATCTTCCATGGTGAACTTTGAAACGAGCCCTCCACATTCATATTTGTCCTTAAGTCGATACGGTGATTCCAGTCTTTCTAGGGCAACATTAGGATCAAAAGGGATAAAAAGGATGTAACACGCCATCAGTGCTGCCCTGCTGAACTCAACCAGCTGAATACCTAGAGCACTGTAAGGAACACACATTTCCATGCAATATTCCTGAATTTTGTAAGGAAATCCTCAAGCTCTCTGGGATATTGTCTGTATATAAATTAGAGATTGCTGACCGAGGTATAAACAGCTTTATGGAGTAGTGTCATTACACAGGGAGGAGTTTGTTATTGGTTTGCTGCCGCCTGAGACAAGAAGGGTAAAGTCTAAAGAGGGTGACAAGTGTCAGAAGCAAAATTCACCTCACCTAACTCAAAGTTCAGCATCTAATCTAAACTAAACTAGCCCCCTATAACTGTCACATAGTCAACAAGAGAAAGCTTATGCTGGAAAAGAATCACATTTCACAGCAATCAGATATTGTAGTGTTTATATTTTTATATAATATGTTTATATTTTTATATAATATGTTTATATCTTTATATAATATGTTTATATTAAACCTCCTCCCATGTTTGTGGGGTTTTTTTTCTGTTTTATGACATGTCAGTGTTTGTGAATGTTGGACATAGGAATCTCAATAATGAATGAATATATGTTTCCAGTACCTAAAGGGGGCTTACAAGAAGACTAGAGAGGGGCTTTTCACAAGGGCATGGAGTGATAGGACAAGGGGGAATGGCCTTAAGATGAAGGAAGACAGGTTTAGATTACATATTAGGAAGAAATTCTTCCCTGGGGGGATGGTGCAGCACTGGAACAGGTTGTCCAGAGAGATTGTGAACTGCCTACCCCTGGAAATGTTCAAGACCAGGTTGGACGGGGTTCTGAGCAACCTGGGATAGTGGAAGGTGTCCCTGCCCATGGAAGAGGGTTGGAACAAGATGATCTTTAAGGTCCCTTCCAACCCAACACATTCTGTAATTGTGGTGAGAGGTCTCTGCGTGTGGTCACACATTCCCAAGGCACTCAGGAGAGGATCTGAACAGAACTGAGGCAGCTTTACGAGTGGAAGAACATAGAAAATAGCCAAGGGAAAGTTGCACAAAGAATTCCAGGGCTCTTCTGAAGAAAGTCTTAGTCTGCCTTCAAGGTCAGCCACCACTTCACATCCTCCAGTGTCCCGTCCCTCAGATGTTATTGGCACTGTGTGGCACCAGCTCAGCACTGCAAAAGCCATTGTTACAGGTCTGCTCTGGGAAGGACTTCCATCCAGAGCCCTGGTTTGTGTTCCAGCTGCAGAGGGGATTTGGGAATTCCTGGGACGTGCTTTGGCGACATGATGCGTTGAGGCATTGCCAGAGTGTCGCGTTACCAGGAGAACCCGGATTGTGTTCTTTTAATTCTTTCTTAATTATTTTCTCCTGATTTCTGCACTTTTGTTATGCTGTTTAAGTCTAATTCGTGTGAAAGGTGACTGAGGGGGGTGAGCAATGCAGTACTAACCTGGGAGGAAGAATAGTTTTTTGTTGGTGGTGTATTGGCTGTCAGTTTGGGGAGGAAGAAGTAAAGGGAATAGGAAAAAAGAACAGCAGGTTGTGTGGGACACGAGGTCCAGGACAGACTGATAACCTTCCATGTGTAGAACACGAACTCTTGGGCTCAAGTTTGGGCCAACATGTTTGGCAACTGAAAGACTTTACATCAGTGTTTCTCTTCTTTTTCTCTTACAAATGGAAATGTTTCCCATTGTAGACCAAGATGCCAAGGGATAAATGTTGAGGTTACTGAACAGAAACCAAGGAAGATGATTCTTAATTAATCTCAATTTAACATCTACCTGAAATAATTGTTATTATCGCATTCCTGTGAAATTAAGCAGAAGCTTTCAGAAGTCAGAGAGACAATGAGGAAATTGCCTAATTTCATTCTGTAAATTGGTCTAGATCTTCATCTAGAATCCAGGTATCCTGCCATGCATTGCCTTCACTTACCTAAATCCCTCTTTTTTCTACTAAGAATATTTTAGTAGTCTGAACCCTGAGTGAAATTCCAATTCCATTCATGCTCTTGGGTCAAATCCTCTGGTTTGATATCTGTAAAGTAGGAACTGATTGTCATTAGCAAATGCAAATGAAGAGTGAGAAGTCATTATGTGCTGTTTCCAGAACAGAGATGACCCCACGTGCTACATTAAAGCTGAATTCAGAACCATCCCTCTCTACACAAGAAGGATTGGTCATCATGAAATATAAAGGCAGGGAATTGCTTGTTGAATAACACCAAGAACTTTCCTGCTCCTGGGAATAACTCTAAGAAGCAAAAGACCTATATCTGTATTCACAGTGGAGAGCTTCCATCCACCACCCCACTGCTGACATCTCCTGTGATATCCCTTAACTTCCTTTCCCCCATTTCTCTGCTCTCCTAAATACAGTGTGGGACAACCTCTTCCTCAAACACAGTCCCCTACCACAAGCTCCCTCCTTCTGCTGGCCAAGTCTTTCCTGGAACATTTCTGCTCTGGTGCCACCAGGAAGGAAACTAAATTATGAGAGAAAGATGAAACCAAGAGGAAGGAGGTTGACTGCTTTTACTGGAAAAGTCTCAGCTGCCTTTGAGATCCCAAACTCCAATAAGGTTGGAAAGAAGACTTAATTTAGGTAGCTTTGAGTGTCTTGTTTTAACCCCCCTCCAAGCTGGCTTGTGCAAATGCTAAAGGATTGCTGCTCATCTCAACCCCACTGGTTCTCTAAAGCACCAAGTACTTGTCAAGGCCTGTGAAAATAACATGAAAAAGTGTCAACTCTCAGTGTTATTGAAGAGCATTTTTCCAAACAAGGTTAGGTTTAGATTTTCTGTCCAAGCTGCTCTTTGTGGTTTTAGTTTTTCGGATTTTTTATTGAAAAGGAGGAAAAGGAAGGCAGAGAAGGGTCAGTCAAGGGCTGGAAAAAAATGACGTTTTCCACAAACTGAGTTAGATTCTCATAAAAACTTAGATTTTTCATTGATAAAATAAATGTCTAAATACTTTTATCTTTTGTCCTTTATTTAAGCTGAAAATCAGAACGTATTGATTTAGAGTGTTGCTAGAAAGCCTTGGAGAGCTGGAGTTTTACTGCCTTACTTCCCTATTTTGTTTAGAACAGGATTCCCTGTTGGAATTATGTCCCATGCTCAGGGATTCCCTCTGTGTCCTGTTGAAGAGAAAAGCCACGAACCAATTTCCAACTCAACATATATTTCTGAATTAACATATATGTGTGGTGTCAGTGAGAATGTTTTAAGTTACTTGCCTAAACACAGCGTGCAACTTCCACAAAAACAAACCAATTTCCCAAGCAGTTCTGCCCTCAAACTTCCTTAATAAACCTGAAGCTCCTCGTCCTCCCCACGTCAGCGGTGATGTGTCAGTGTGCTCTTTAGCTGAACATTAGTCATTCTTGTTCCACGAGGTTCTAACCATGTAGCTGTCTCTGCAAGTGTCAAACCAGGCTCCTTCCAGCAGGAACATTTCCCTGGTGTAACTCCAGCCTGGTTTTGGAGTGATCCAAGCTCTGCTGCAACCGGACGTGTTCTTATTCACACCGGTGGTATTTGAGTCGTGTGCACTGCTGGATGTGAAGGAGTTGGAGTTGTCTTAAGAGGATGGAGAAGGATGATTTCCTTGCCTCACCAGTCAGTGGTGCTGTATTTAGGAATGCATTTTGGCAGCTCATTGAAAGACCTGTTTTGCCTCTTTCCTCTCCCCCCAGCAAACGGCGTTCTATGGCACGGTCAAGACCGGCTACACCATCGGACACACCTTGTCCCTCATTGCCCTCACAGCTGCTATGATCATCCTGTGTCTCTTCAGGTAAGACCATGAGCAAACAAGGCACTCAAAAGGACATGGAAGCTGTTAAAGTTACAGACTTTATAGGCTGTGAGTGTTACAGATAAATGCCAAAAACTTCTGTCACGTCTGAGTTGGATAGCGGAGGAAAGTTCTCCCGTCTTTTGATACCTCTGTTTTTTAGAATGTGATTTGTGGCCTTTGTGTGACATTTATAACCCAAATCCAATTTATTTAGGTGGATTCATCTCACTAAAGGTAGATTGTTACATGATGGATTCCTGTATTAGAGGTCATTATTCCATAAACCTGTTATAGTCCACAGAGTCCTAGTCAGATATATGGATACTATGGAATTTCTACTCAAAGTAGTACCATTTCTACTCAAAATGGTACAGATTAATCACACTCCAAAACTACCTAGAATCACCAAATCCTAGAGTGGTTTGGGTTGGAAAGGACCTTAAAGATCATCTCATTCCAACCCCCTGCCATGGGCAGGGACACCTTCCACTAGCCCAGGTTGCTCCAAGCCCCGTCCAACCTTGGACACTTCCAGGGATGGGGCAGCCACAGCTTCTCTGGGCAGCCTGTTCCCTCCCAAAGCCTATTTAAGAAGCACTTCCTGCTGTAGTTTTATGGCAAGACAGAAACACCCAGAGCCATTTTAGTCATGCTGGTGGCTCTGAGATGTGCACAAGGGTAGCAGATACAATGAAGGACCATTAGGAGACCCAGGCCCTTATGGACTGATGGGCAGATACTCTGCAGCTTATCAAGTGGCATTAGAAGCCCAGACTGCAGCAAATTAATTAATCCTCAGTCTCTTGTTTATAAATGAATCAGGCATCAAAATTTGGGTGCCTCAAATGAAGAAGTCTGCATATAAGTTATCTGCTATTATAAAGTTGTTTTTGTAAAGGGAGAACAGCAAAGATCTGTTCAGCAAAGATGTGGTTCCCCCTCCTCCTGTAGGAAAGAGCTTATATTCTAGGCTATAACTCTCACACTTAGACCAAGACTGGCCTCACCTTTCAAGAACTTTGCTCTTCACCCATGTGTTCTCTCCTCTCACAAGGGAGGAGTGAATCAGACCCACATGCAGATTATCTAAACAAGGTACAAGGTGCCAGGCTGATGAAACTGTGGAGGTTCACACTGTTCCTTTGTGGGAAACAGAGTCATTTGACTTCCCTTCACCTGCGAGTAGAGAGAGCTCAGCTCAGCTACATTATCCTGGCATCGCCCCAGATCAGGAGCACAACCTCTGCCACGGCACAGGGACTCATTAGGAGCTGCTAATTTGATTGTGCTGCTGAGCGAGGTCTGTTGTGGCTCTGGTGTCTGTACAAAGTACCCATCTGCAGAGTATTGGGCTCTTCACATAGCTGGCGTAAAGTCCCACTTGAAAAAAAAAAGAAAAAAAAAACCTACTTGATCAAAATTCATCTTCAAAATGTGTGTTTAACCAAATGCTGATTTTTCTCTGAAGAATATTCCCCCCTCTCATGCTAATAAGATTAATATATACAATAAAGTAAAAGGAATGTAATTATTGTGCAGGATACAAGTGTACATTTATTACTAATTTCATCATTTGTATTTTAAAATAATATTATATATAATTTCTTTTTTAACTGCTTTGCGCTTTTTTTCAGATATGCCTTTGATGAATAACTTTTTCTTCACATTCTTGAGACACTGTGAGCTTAACAGAAGAAATACAATTCTCAGACACAGATTATTATTTTAGTATGATTTTAAATATTTTTCCCTGATTTATCAAATTGACTACCAGAATTTTCACCCAATCTATGCTTTAAACTAGATGAATTCTGGTGGTGTTCTCAGTATCATTAACAACCAATATTTTTTAAGTAATAATATAGTTCATGTTGCTCCAGAAAGCCTGTAATATGTGTTAATTTTGGCAACAGAGGCTAAGAATTTATTTCCCTTCTTGAACAAACATTTCACTTTGGAAATAATGATTGCAGTACAAACATTCTGTAGAAAACAGCCCTTTATTGTGAGCCCAGGCTGCTCAGTGGAAAACATTTCTTTTCCAGCAGAGAGCAGTGGGATGGACCTGTTTTCTGTCATTCTGTATTTTCTCCTGCTTTTCTGAATAATGAAAAAGCAGCAGCACTGCTGCAGATCTGTGGATCACCACGTTTTGTGGATTTAAAAAGGCTTAAGTGGATTTGTGGTGATGTACATCAGAACAGAGCCTGTCTTGGGGTTTCTAATGTTTAATTGTAACTCCATATCTTGGCAGAAGACACATGCAAATAGGTAAATAACCCCTTTTGAGAAGCCTGGCTATTCAGAAATGTTTCATCTCTTCCCGACAGAAAACTACACTGCACTCGAAATTATATTCACATGCATCTCTTCATGTCCTTCATCATGAGAGCCATTGCAGTCTTCATCAAAGATGTCATCCTGTTTGAAAGTGGAGAATCCGAGCACTGCTTTGTGAGTTCAGTAAGTAGCCTTGCACTTTGAAGTTTCCACCTTATTCTGTTGCCCCTCTTAAACAATGCACCAAAAATTACCTTGCAAGTGCACGAGAGACAGGACTTCGGGAAGGTTTCGGGGGGGTTTTTTCATGTTTGAAAGAAAAAATATGATTGCTACAGGTCAAATTACATGGAAAGGGAATAAATTGATTATCAGAGTCAAAAATTTATAGGCATCTTGTCTCCTTGTGAGGTTGGACTCGCTGATCTTAGAGGTGTTTTCCAACCTCAACGATTCTGTGAGGTCAAACCCACAACCGAGGCTCTACAAGATTTTGGGGTTCCTGTCAGCCTGGTGTCCATCTCCCAGCCACATGCTAATATTTGGATATCCTGGTCCAAGGACACTTGCAGTGCTGTGTTTAGGGATTCAATAACACCTTTCCCTCCAGAGTCAGACCAAGATTCACGTAACTAACTCCAGGTATCCTTGGGGTAAGTGCCTGTACATGAGTGTGTAAAGTGCAACCATAGTCAGTCAGGTTCTAATTAATATGTTCACTGGAGCCTGGAGAGCTGTTCACCTCATTTGGAATAAGGCACCTGGATTTGGATGGGCTCCCTGGGCTCCAGTGACCCCACCTCTGCAAGAGTTTGGGCAGGAAATCCATGTGTAGACATCATCATCTATTTTTCACCTGGACCTGTCTCCCACGCTCTCTGTCTGCAGCTGTGAGATTTCCCTACTGGGACAATAAATGAGGGGAATAAAGGAGTTGGGATTTTATTTTTTTTTTTTCACTTTCAATGTTATCAGCTGGAGCAAACATTGAGGAGGGAGAAGGGCTGTTTATCTAAAGGCCATACTGATGTAAGGGGGCACCAGCCATGGATAAATTTAAGCAGGAAATTGAAATCACCAAAACGAAGAGATGTGATCACAAATCATTCAAAAAAAAAGAAAAAAAGAACCTCCATAGCAAATTCATAACATTACATTATGCTTATAACATAACATTATGCTTGCTGGCAATAGCAGGAGACTGGGAACAGCAATCCAGCAAATCCCTTCTGGACCTGTTTTTTTGTGTCACACAGCACCAGAAAAAGCTTCTCTTTCTCTTCCATCCTTCCAGCTTATTCCTTGCCTTCTGGCTTTTCTGTATCCTAACCCTGAGTCCTGTCCCTGCTGTTACAATGAACTTTCTGCTCGAGCATCTCTCAGTTGCAGCCTCCTTTCAGCTTTTCCCAAGAACTGTCTGCAGCAGGAAGTGTTCCCTTTGGAATGTCCCTCCATGCTTTTCCCTCCCAGTGGTTCACTGGGATCTGTATTCTTGCAACTGGTTTTTCCTGGGAGAGTCCATGAATGGTTAGAATGACATGGAAACTGGAATAAAAAAATTCCACTGATGCCAGTTGGCAGAGGAGCCAAGAACCCAACAAACCATGGAGCTTGAACCAACCCCTCACCCCTGGGGGTATTTGCACTGGGTCGTGGCTGGGACGTGACCACAGAGAGCTGTGTGAGAAGTGTTTCCATCCAGAAACAGAAATACAGGAATTTTCCTGAAGAATCCACAGCTCCTGGAAGCCGCTGTGCTTTCAGGTAGACCCATGGGGTGTGTTTATCCCCATCAGAGAACTTTTAAGTTAAGCACCAGCTCAGGGTGAATGGCTGGATGATACACAAGGGTTATGAAATTGTGTGGAACAAACCTGTCTCTGCTGCACAACCCCTTGCAAAATCTGCACAACCTGTCTCTAACCAACCTTATGGACAAACCTTCAAGTTATAGTGAAAAAAATACCTACATAAAACACAGTCAAAATGCCTTTCCTAACATTCATCTGTTTGGAGAAATAGTTACAAAATCCATTGTGTTCCTGTGGGTTTGGTTGGGTTGGCTTGGCTTGAGTTGTTTGTGCTTTGAAATTGCAGGAGAAAGTTTGACTTGGGAGACCTGGGGACTAATTCATGAACCCAGGACTTTATACACAGTTTCCTGAAGGTTTTGTGTGTAATGGCTGGATGTGGCCTTGAGCTCATTCAGTCTGAGGAGAGATTTTAACAGTTTTGTGAGTGCTGTCACCACTGTGCTGGTTTAAAACAGGGCAAACCCAAAGCAATAAAAGTGTTCTATTAGAAGAGAAAGTACCACTCTTAGTTCCTCCAAGGAATAAAAGATAAAGACACCCCCCTCCCAGAACAGATTTAGGGATGCAAAATCCAAATAAATAGAGGCCTCTCCCAGCATTTCTGATGAAGGGACCGAATTCCTGAACTTGGTATTACCTGTAGCAGTAAGAAGATTTAAAATTGTTTTATGCACCAGCCATACAAAAATATGTTAAGCTCTCCAACAAATATGTCCATGTTTAAATCAACTGGGAACTGCAATACATGAAGGTGTATATGCAATTGAAAAAAAGAAAACAAACAACTTTTCCATAGGTTTTACTGCATTTTTACTTCATTTTACCTCGTGTGGGAAACCTCAGTTACGGCGTTAACTCATTTTAAACTCAAATAGTTTTGGATTACCATTGAGTTCAACGTGAACACCCTGAAAAATTAAGTTTGTTGGGCATTCCTCTGGAGCCTGGGAATGTGGCTGTAAGCATTTCGGGCTCAATGTAGCCAAAATATGTGTGATGAGCATCACTGAGTCCTCATGTGAGCCAGCACATGCACTGGGTGATGTTTTCAGAGTGATGTGTGGCACCCAGAGCCTCCAGGAATTCCTTGATCCTACTTTCTTGATAAATCCTCTCCTGGGGGAGAGAAAATTCCTGCTGGCTGGGTGAAAAAAATCAGCCTGTTTTCCTTGGGCAGAAACCCCGAGTTGGTAAGCAGGGCTTGTTTTCATGCCTAAATGTGACAGGTTTAAATGGTCACTGAGCCCGGACCTGCTCGAGGTCTTTGTCCCACCTCAAGGAAACTCAGCATCGGTGGCTTTACAAACATCCTTCACACTTTCTCCTCTTCCCAAGTGTCCAACTCTAACAGACTTGTTTCTAGGCACAGTGTGGATCACTTGGCTCAGGTAGAAGTATTTAGGCCAAAAGTCCACTGCGGGATTTTCCAGTGGGAAACAAAGCACTGCAGGGACCTTGAATTTTTGTCGAGGGGTGGAACCAGCAGAGGGGTCTGGTGGCCACACACAGCACGTTGCCCAAGGTGCCAACCGCCCTGAGTAGACCAAAAACACTTCTTCCCTCTCTGTCAAGCCTTCAGTGACAAAGTACATCTGTAATTATGCGTAACTGAATCATCCTGTTTTCTTCAAAGGCTTAAAAACAGGCCTGTGCTCAGCTGTGTTAGTCTGGGCTTTGAGCACTTGGGTGCAGAGATGATCAGGCTCAGAGGGCTCCGTGGAACCACCCACTTGGACTTCTTCAATAACTGTCCATTTTCATTCATTTTGATTCAGGTTATGTTCTGTCTCAGTATCTGGCCATTCCTGATGGAAAACTCGCCCCCTGTGGCTTTGTTGCATCCAACAATTGCTCATACTGTGGGAAAAATTGCATTTTCCCACCTGGATTTGCCTTTTCCTTTTGTGGGTTTTTTTTCACTGCTAGGCTCAAGATGCCCCCTCAGAAGGTTTAGTTTTTCACACTTGTTTTCTTAGGTCTAGTGACTTTGTGTCTTGGCATTCCCACACTTTATCTTCCCCTTTCCTTGTCTCCCTGGGGAACACCCTGTGAAACACAGCAGCCAAAACAGCAAACCTGGTGGAAGGATTGAACTGAACACTTCAGTTGTTGTTTCATTTGATTTTTTGTGGGTTTATGGATCGGGTTTTATATGGTTTCATTACTCTCATATCTGGATACCATAATAATGATGAACTTCTTACATTTCCAGTCTTGCTGAACAAAAAAAAAAAGCCAACAGTTTGCCATAAACAAAGATCTCATTCTACAGATTAAACTCAGGCTCGAGTTTTGAACTCTGAAAATTTACTTCTGCTGAAGATTCAGCCATATCATTTATCTTTTTTGGTGTTGTATTCCAGTAAGACAAAAACTTCCAACAACAAAAAAAAAAATATTCTTTGCAAAGGAGGTTGGGACTTCAGCAACTGTGAACTTACACATATATCTCGTATTTTCAGAGTGAAAAATTGGGAGTTTCCACACGAAATTCCTCAGACCAAACTCATAAGAGCTCCAAGCCCCAAAATGAACTTTATTTATGGAAGTTGAAGACAAAGACATTTTCTTTTCCAATGCACCCCCATCTGAGGCTCATCAGATCTGTCTGGGAGGACCATGATATTCAGGCTCATGGAGAGATGGAAGAGTAGAAACCTTTTTTATGCAGTTGTGTAAAAGTGAAGCAAATATTAGAGACTCAGCCATTTTATTGGGTTATATCCTTCAGGAAAGGCTGCTCCCACCTACACAGAGGAGGGATGAGCTCTTTAACAGCATCTGCTCAACTTTAGGTGGCTTGGGAGGAAGAGCAGAGCTCTGAAGACAGTGTGATTCTTCCCTTTACTTTAATTAAAGTTGGGTCAGTCCCCAAAATGTGTAAATACATCAGCTGACCCTTTTTTCAGTAGCTCAGCCCATTCCTGCAGAATTGTACCCCTTCCACTGAGCTCAGTGGGTCCAGCCAGGCCCAAAGGTGCTGCTGAGATCAGGAGATGCCTTACAGTCTGTCCTGCCATGGAACTGATGCCCAGTGTGACATGAGGTCCACCTTGTTTTGAGAGGGAAACATTTGGTTTTCATCCCAAGGAGCAGCACAAGGGAAAATAAAAAATCACTACTTATGGAAAGTATAAGTTTTCCACTGTGCTTTTCTACTCATGTATGACCTGAAGCCCCTCACCCTGTCCACAAATGCCTGTGAAATCCAACCAAATGGTGCCTGTTGGCTTAAGGAAATATGAGTTCCAATGGACTTGCTGTCACAACACAGACCTGACACACCCATCTCCTCAGTCTTTATTTTGACCATCAGATTCGATAAAGAGATTTGCATCTTCCAGGCAACTTCTGTGGACTGTTATCCAC